GGTTTATTTACTGATTTACCATTAGGCGTATTCATTTATTTATAAGTACGTATAATATTTATATACGTCAAAACAATGAAACTAATTTTTATAAACCTTGAAAGGGAGGTTTATTTACTGATTTACCATTAGGCGTATTCATTTATTTATAAGTACGTATAATATTTATATACGTCAAAACAATGAAACTAATTTTTATAAGACTTGGACGGTAAGTGTATTTACTGATTTACCATTAGGCGTATTCATTTATTTATAAGTACGTATAATATTTACATACATCAAACCAATGAAACTAATTTTTATAAAACTTGAACGGTAGGTGTATTTACTGATTTACCACTAGGTGTATTCATTTATTTATAAGTACGTATAATATTTATATACGTCAAACCAATGAAACTAATTTTTATAAAACTTGAACGGTAGGTGTATTTACTGATTTACCACTAGGTGTATTCATTTATTTATAAGTACGTATAATATTTACATACGTCAAACCAATAAAACTAATTTTTATAAAACTTGAACGGTAGGTGTATTTACTGATTTACCACTAGGTGTATTCATTTATTTACATACGTCAAACCAATGAAACTAATTTTTATAAAACTTGAACGGTAAGTGTATTTACTGATTTACCACTAGGAGTATTCATTTATTTATAAGTACGTATAATATTTACATACGTCAAACCAATGAAACTAATTTTTATAAGACTTGGACGGTAAGTGTATTTACTGATTTACCACTAGGTGTATTCATTTATTTATAAGTACGTATAATATTTACATACATCAAACCAATGAAACTAATTTTTATAAGACTTGGACGGTAGGTGTATTTACTGATTTACCACTAGGTGTATTCATTTATTTACATACGTCAATCCAATGAAACTAATACGTCATAAACTTCTACAGAACTAAATACATAAATTACCGGGGTGAGGAAAATAAAGATTTAAACATGAAACACGTCATTGTCGTTGTTTATAATACTGTTCAAACTTATAAAGATTTAAACATGAAACACGTCATTGTCGTTGTTTATAATACTATTCAAACTTATAAAGATTTAAACATGAAACACGTCATTGTCGTTGTTTATAATACTATTCAAACTTATAAAGATTTAAACATGAAACACGTCATTGTCGTTGTTTATAATACTGTTCAAACTTATTTTCTAATGTCAATAAAATCACGAATGTTACGTTGTTTGTAAAATGTTGGAATCACAATAATTTTATATTTATCCCAAGTAAATACCCTTGTATTATGTACATGTAAAGCGATTGGTTTATAATATTTTTGATTCTCTTTAACTCAATATTAGTATTGTTACGTCTCTGTTCGTTTGTTGATTTTCCCCAGAAATTATTTCCGAAAAACATCAGCGAAACAAATCCTTTCTTAAATAAAACTAGTTTATTATTTCTCAATACAACTTTGCAAAACAGACACTTTAACTTAAACACACGCTATTATTCACAATGATTTATACACTTTACTTACGGCTTGACTCGATTATCTGTCTCCCTATCTCTCTGTCTGCTATCCAATTATCTTTTTGCCATCACTTCTCACCGGTCTTATATATATACAAAATAGAGGGCGTCTCGAGCCTTCATGAACCTTCTAGATGCTCATTACGTGTTACTAGCGTCACGTGACTTCCGCTGTCGTAACAGTATTTAATCATTAAATTTATTTTGTTAGCTTGTATGTATATCTTATTAGCACAAGAGTAATTGCTATTGGCACATATGAAAGTTTTACTTTATAATTTATAATCATTTATTTTATTTAAACTGTTTTTGAAATATTTTGATATCTTGAGTGTAATATTACGTAATGAACATCACAATTTTCGGTTTTTTTTATATCATCTTTACAACAAATCTTATAAATTAACTTGTACTTAAAGACATTGCCACTTATTTTATGAACACATTAATTTCGTTGGTTATAAGTTGATTTTTTCTTACATCTTCAGGAATCTCGGTACCATCACGAGTACGACGTGGAATCAATGAAGAAAGTAAGTGCATTCAATATTTTTATTGAAATAAACTTATTATTTCTGAATGTTATATACATTCTAACGAAATTACTTCCAAATAGTTATTTTATAGCCATATAAAAGGTTTCAGCACTGGACTTTTCGTATTAAAACAGCTATTCTTTATGTCGCAAAATATTTTGGCTAGTTCTTCTTTCTTAATTTCCCCGAAAGAGGGCCGAAGGCCGCCTGGAGAGGTAACCTTGTACTAACCACTCGCACCACTATACAGTAGTGAGCTGTCTGTCAGTCAGTCAGTAGACACTAAAATGACGTTGCATAAAGGACGTTTTAATGTCGCAATCTGTACTGTCGTGACATAAGTAAAACGTGCGCATGCCATGAATCACGAGAAGAATTGTGCACTCTGTAGGCTACAAAACAGCACGACATATGAACTTCAAAATCAGGAAATATAAATATTTGTTCCTCTTAATTTTGCTTTTATTTACTTTTGAAACAGAACACTTTCGGGGACCCTGCGGAAATACATCTAGTTAGTGGATCTAATTTCTGTTTCCTAACCCAAAATAATGCACCACACAGACGGAGAAACGTTATCAAAGTATTAGTTCTTCATTACAAGACTAAATTATTTATTTATTATTAATGACTAAATTATTTATTTCATACAACATGGTTAAAATTATTCACCCAGGAGACTTTTTTTTTATCAATTTTACAAATATGGAATAATAATGGTTGGAGACGGCTTGAATGGGTAATGAAGAAAAACTTTCATATAAGTTTAACATAACAGCAAATGTACAAATGTTTCAACAAGGTTTTGTCATCATCAGGTACATTTGCTGTTACGTTAAACTTATATTAAAGTTTTTCTTCATTACCCATTCAAGCCGTCTCCAAGCATTATCATTCTATGTACTTAGTAAAACCAACAAATTGTTGTTTAACTATTTATTATGACTTTTATTGGTTGAGATCTGATCAACCATATGTAAAGCTGCCAATCACTGAATGATTTAAGGTAATGAAAGTAGTTGCAATGAGATGATCAAAGTATCTTATTCTTATTATTCCTTCTGCTTTGCAGTTTTCTTGTCTTCTTTTGATTGGTACGTAATGTTTCTGGATAACCTCACTTTCTGGTCACTTTACAAGGATGAAGAAAGCAAATAAAACTTTTGGCTGGTCCAGGGTCCAAGCCAATATGACCACATGGAAGCCAGAGAGAACTTAGTGTTCTCTGTGCATTTTATGTCATTTTGAGTCACTAAATATTCATATTATTCACTGTTAAGATATTCAGTAAACATGTGAATTTTGCCATTTTAACTTATGATCCAGTGTTCAAAATTAAAGATCAGTTAACTTACAAACTAGTCATTTCATAAAATATTTAAAACAGATACTACATAGACATGTTTATAATGGTAATAATTAGATCACTTAAGAACAAACTGATCATTTCATGAAATATTGAGACAATGTTGATCATATCATTTTCCACTAGGGCAAATTACTAATCAATCGTTTATAAACTGAATCTTTTTAAAGGCAGATATGAAACATTATGTATTCTCATGCATGAACCTTCAGGTATACTATTACTACAATTTTTTAATTCTAAGCCAATGTTTGTGTATTGTGAATCCCATATTTGCAACTAAATATTTGATAGATAAAAAGACACAGTAATCTAACAACAGGCAAAGCATTAGATCAGTAAGACACAAAAGTTGTTTGTAATTTTTCTTTTTTTTTATGAAATTTGTTGAACAGAACCTATGACTTGCACTTAAATTCATAAATGTCTTACTAAGTCTTAAAATTTAATTTAATAAAACACTATAAATTTTTTAATAGCAAGATTTTTGAACTTAATAATATATGTTAAACATGAATATTATAAGATTAATGTAATACTTTATGAATTCTATATATTCTGTATTGTAATACATGTCCAGATTCTTTGGATCAACGCAGATGATAATATAACTTATAATACATATATAATAGAACTTATGAGACTGAAAAATATATTTGGAATTTGTGATATTTAATATGTACATAAAATGTTTTCATTTATCACAAATTTCAAGAATTTTGTTCTATACCTGCCTCATCCCAACTTTCCTTAGATCATATATATATATATCCCCAATTAGGCTGCATCTAACTGATTTTACACATATCTGATGACAACAAAATGGCTATTCTATGTAATTCTAAGCAAATAGGCATAAATATAATCATTATTAAAGGTGGTTGGCAAAACATTTAAAGTCTATCTCTATGCTGTTCCTTTTTAACTGTCTGCCACTGCACTTTGCAATTGGTTGGCGGCTGTCAATCAGCCAGTTAAAAGGAGCCTCACATAATGATTTCAGCTTAGCATAAACATTAAAGCAGACAAGGCAATCTTGGATCGAGCCTAATAATACCAGTATTTTGTCTATGGCCCCAGCACTCCTACCAACATTTTTCTCACTGGATTTGAACAAATTTGGTGAATGGCCAATTTGAGAATAGAAAGGGTGGAAACCTGCTAAGTGACAGCTAATTCTCATCTCTGTTTTCACTTCAACAGAAACCCCATCATGACGGTACTTATAATGTTTACATTTCATGCACACCTTCCAATGTTGCACTTGCAACTCAGACTGAGGTAAACATGACTTTCAGACATTCTGCCAGTGTATATTGACTAGTTTAGCATTGAAAACAGGTATTCTATAGGTAAATGACCTTGTAAGAGGCAATAGACTTTCACAAGACTCTTGACACAAATTAGGGGGGAGAACTAATTTTCATATGAAGTTTCTTCTCTAAGAGGTGAAATGATAAACACACTATAACTGAATTACTATTGAAAAGTAATATTAGTGTTTTTTTATCATTTGCCAGATATTGTGATGAATAAAACAGCCACTAATTTCTGTAAAATCAACTCCTGATGTGTTACAGCACATCTGATGAGCTTAACTGTAACATTTTAGTCTTTATATGTCTTTCATTTTCTAAATGAATTCTAAACAAAATCTTAAAATAATGACTTAACAGGAAACACCTGTAATCCTAAATAATATATTTTTGGTAAATCTATACACTCTGTTGAGCACAAAATTTAGCTTCATCACTTATCATAAAATAAGAAATTATATAATTTTTAAGTGCAGTTTCTATAACAATTAGTTTTTAGAATTAAGGTTATGTAAACATCATTCAAACAATATGATACATATTGTTACGTCTCCGTTTGTTAATTGATTTTTCAGTAACTTCGTTCCAACGAAACTTTAACGACACAAGTCT